GCTCACGCCTGTGGTCCCAGCACTATGAGAGGCCGAGGTGGGCTGGTCACGAGGTCAGGCATTTGGGACCAGCCTGACCAACATGGTAACACTCCGTCTCTACTAAAAATATAAAAAGTAGGGGCCGGGCGCGGTGGCTCAAGCCTGTAATCCCAGCACTTTGGGAGGCCGAGGCGGGTGGATCACGAGGTCAAGAGATCGAGACCATCCTGGCCAACACGGTGAAACCCCGTCTCTACTAAAAATACAAAAAATTAGCTGGGCATGGTGGTGCGTGCCTGTAATCCCAGCTACTCAGGAGGCTGAGGCAGGAGAATTGCCTGAACCCAGGAGGCGGAGGTTGCGATGAGCCGAGATCGCGCCATTGCACTCCAGCCTGGGTAACAAGAGCGAAACTCCGTCTCAAAAAAAAAAAAAAAAGTAGGCCGGGCGTGGTGACTCAAGCCTGTAATCCTAGCACTTTGGGAAGCCAAGGTGGGTGGATCACCTGAGGTCAGGAGTTCAAAACCAGCCTGGCCATCATGGTGAAACCCCATCTTTAAAAAAAAAAAAAATACAAAAACAGCCGGGCATGGTGGCAGGTGCCCATAGTCCCAGCCACTCAGGAGGCTGAGGCAGGAGGATCGCTTGAACCCAGGAGGTGGAGGTTGCAGTGAGCCCAGATCACAACACTGCACTCCAGCCTTGGGGACAGAGTGAGACTCGGTCTCAAAAAAAGGAAAAACCAAAGTGAAAAACAGAGCTCAGGGAGTGGGGACAGGGCAGCCAGCAGGCACCCCCTTGCCTCTGGGTGCCAGGGGCCCTAGGTTTGGCACTCCACCAGGCTGCTCTTGAGCCTACCTTCTGCCTCCAGGACATTGGCTGCTCCGGATGATGACAGGGAGAGAAGGCCCAGTGCTACCAGCAGACAAGGGCAGCTTCTCTGAGTGCAGCCTGAAAATGAAATGTTACACGAATGCTTTCTCCACAACACCCCAGCCCTGGCGTCTCTCCAAACCGCAGCTTTAGTTGTGCTGGGAGAAAGGGTATTTCCTGCTCCTCAGGAAGGGAGGTAGAACCCTTCCCTCAATGCCCTGATGAGCTGGGCATGAGTCTTGGGGTCAGGGGTGAGGCTTGAGAAAGCCCCCATTCCATTGCCCTTTGCTACCCCCAAACTGAGGGTGTTTAGAAACACACTCACCACAGTCACAGCTCTGAACACCAGGTTCCCCTCAAGCCACCACGACCACTGTACCCAACACCTGTAGCCAACACACTGGACCCAGCACCTGAACAGGACTCCACAGGCTCAGCCAAAGGCAGCACACACATCACACGATGCTTCCCCGTCTCATATTTTTCTTATGGTTTCCAGGATGCAGATCCTCTTTTTCTGAAAAGCATGACCTAGGAGGGAGGAGTGGAAAATAAACAGTAATTTCCTGTAACAAGAGCCTTTTTTATAAAGCACTTGGAGGAAGAGGAGGGGCACAGAGGAAGGGGGGTTTGACTCTTTGCAGGAAATGGCCACGCCTGTGACTTTTCTGAGCCCGCTAGTTTCTGCCCAGAAGGCCATTGGGGGGATGATATTAAGCCAGTGCACAAGTAATTACGGGCCTGGCACAGTGGCTCACGCCTGTAATCCCAGCACTCTGGGAGACCGAGACGGGTGCATCACTTGAGGTCAGGAGTTAGAGACCATCCTGGTCCACATGGTGAAACCCCACCTCTACTAAAAGTATAAAAGTTGGCTGGGCATGGTGGTGGGTGCTTGTAATCTCAGCTACTCAGGAGGCTGAGGCAGGGAAATCACTGGAACCTGGGAGGCAGAGTTTGCAATGAGCAGAGATTGAGCCATTGCACTCCAGCCTGGACGATACAGTGAGACTCTATCTCAAAAAAAAAAAAAAAAAAAAAAAAAAAAAAAAAAAAAAAAAAAAAAAAAAAAAAAAAAAAAAAAAAAAAAAGAAAGAAAATAAAAGAAAAATGATCTGACCTACACTGAGTGTAGATTATAAAATCCCCATGCATCAACCTAATAATAATGATAATAAAGTGTTCACCTTGTTCCAGACATTATGTCAAGTGTTACAGATACAGATATCACTTCACCAGCCACTCTGTCAGATAGGTGTAATTCTAGCCCCATTTTATAAATGGATAATCTGAGGCTCAGAGAGGTAAAATAAGTGGCCCAAGTAACTTAGAGTGGGGACTTGAAGCCTGCTGGGTTGCTCCAAAGCCCAGCTTGCTCTGTGTCTTGATTTCATGCCAGTAATCCCAGCACTTTGGGAAGCCAAGGCAGGAGGATCACTTGAGCCCAGGAATTTGAGACCAGCCTAGACAACATAGGGAGATCTCATCACTACAAAAAATGAAAAAATTAGCCAGGCATGGTGGCACATGCCTATAGTCTCAGCTACTTGGGAGGCTGAGGTGGGAGAATCACTGAGCCCTGGAGGTGGAGGTTGTGGAGAGCTGTAATGGTGCCACCGCACTCCAGCCCAAGTGACAGAGTGAGATCCTATCTCAAAAAAAGAAAGAAAGAAAAGAAGGAGGGAAGGAAGGAAGGAAAAGAAAGGAATGATCTGACCTACATTGTTTGACTGTAGGGTAAAAAATCCCCATTCCAGAGAGGCCCTGCACCCCACCTCCCAACTCAAAAAGAAGGAACCCGTGTTCAGAGAGGCCAAGAAGAATCTAGGCAGATGGGTGTGGCTGGGTTTCCCCACTCATTCTAATAGTATTAGACCATAACCTTTCTGTCCAATTATATTTCTTTCTTTCCTTTTTTTTTTTTTTTGAGACAGAGTTTCACTCTTATTTCCCATGCCCAGGCTAGAGTGCAAGGGCACAATCTTGGCTCACTGTAACCTTGCCTCCCAGGCTCGATTCTCCTGCCTCAGCCTACTGAGTAGCTGGGATTACAAACATGTGCCACCACACCCAGCTAATTTTGTAGTTTTAGTAGAGATGGGGTTTCTCCATGTTGGTCAGGCTGGTCTTGAACTCCCGACCTCAGGTGATCCGCCTGCCTCGGCCTCCTAAAGTGCTGGGATTACAGGTATGAGCCAGTGCGCCTGGCCTTCCAGTTATATTTCAACAAGACTGTCCATACTTTGATGAATCTAAATATAAAAATAGACAATTTGTCCTCTGTCTTTGGGTCTTCATTCTGAAGGCCTCTGTGACACATAAAACTCTGATCAAATAAATTTGTATATTTTTTCTCCTGTTAATCTGTCTCTTGTCAGTGATTTTCAGCAAGCTTTCAGAGGGCAAAAGGGGAATTTTTCCTTGGCCTTGACCCAAGCTTGTAGTTCCTTTGGGGTGAGTAGTGTCTCTGGCTGCAGTAAGCTGTCTCAAAGTCGGGGCAGGCCTGGAGAGTGGGGTTAGGATGGCACCCACAGAGCAGCAATAGTTCATTCCTGGCCTGGACCCTTCCCCACATCATGACCAGACACGAGAAGACACACATTCATAGATTCCCTGGCCTCAGAGGAGCAATGAGGCTTCCTGGAAACTCTGGTTTTTGAAAATCATGTCCTAAGAATGGAGGGAATTCCCTACACTTTCTCTCCCCTACCTTTGGCTCACGTAAAGACCTAGGAGAATATATGACAAAGTGCTAACAAAGGTTACTCTGTGCAATTAGAATATGGGTGATTTTTATTCTATTGTCCTTTTTGGCTCATTATGTTTTCTAAGATTTATTTTCCCTACATTGAATATGTATCATTTGTTTAATGTTTAAAATATGCTGTAAAAAGAGAAAATCCTTTGGGATTGCTCACACCTGCAATCCCAATGATTTGGGAGCTCAAAGCAGGAGGATCGCTTGAGACCAGGGAGTTAAAGGCTGCAATAAGCTATGATCACACCGCTGCACTCCAGCCTAGGTGACAGAACAAGACCTAATCTCAAGAGAGAGAGAGAGAATCTCAACATTGTCTCAGTCTTAAGACATCCCTCCACTCCCTTCTGTCCCATCTCCTTCCCCTCTGACCTACCTGCTACTCTGGGCTCATTCCCTGAGTCTGAACCTGCTTTAATGCAGGCCTTGCAGGTGCAGAAGGCATTGAGGCCAGGTCATTCAGGTAAGGCAAGCCATGGCTTGGCCAAGAGGACTGGTAATGATGGGGGTCAGGGAAGCAGGGAGGCCACCCTAGCCTGGCCTGACTGGAGAGAAACGTCCTGTAGGGTGGGGGCGGGAGTGCAGGCTGCGATGGGAGCAGAGGCCTCATGGCCTGGGCCTTCCAACGCCAGGCCAGGATTGCCACACACCCTTTATCCATGCGGTCCTTCCCGGTGTGTACTGTGTTCTGCTGGCACAGGCCCGGACTTGTTGTCATAGCAGCTGCAGCTGGACAGGGGAAAGGGGCAGAATATAACTGTATGAGTAATTAACTACAGATGTGGCAGGGCTACGAGGAATGTTCAGCCTGCTGCTGTGAGCGGAAACTGGAAAACCCGGGGCCAGGTTTCCCTGAAGGCGGCCATTTAAGCTGAGTTTGGAAGGAGAATGGGAGTCATGGGGGAGCGAGTGGGTGTGGAACATTCTGAAAGGAGCAGCGTACACAAAGGCCCTGGGATGGGAAGGAGCTGGGCCAGTGGAGGAACAGAGAAATGGCTGGAGCGGCTGGGGCTTGTAGGCATGTTGAGGGGGTATATGTTGGTTTCCAAGAACTGCCATAGGAAGGCATCACAGATTTGGTGGCTAAAAACAACAAATGTTTATTCTGTCATAGTTCCAGAGGCTAGAAGTCCAAAATCAAGGTGTTGGTAGGGCCGGGCCACACTTCCTCTGAAATCTCTAGAGTAGCGGTCCCCAGCATTTTTGGCACCAGGGACTGGTTTCTTGGAAGATAATTTTTCCTCAGACCAGGAAGGGGATAATTTCGGGATGAAACTGTTCACCTCACATCCGAGCATTGGTTAGATTTTCCTAAGGAGAGCGCAACATAGATCACTTGCATGTGCAGTTCGCAATTGAGTTCTCGCTCCTAGAGAATCTAATGCGGATCCTTTTGTAGTTCATGAACATGATGATTGGGTGTTCACACACTTGTGTGAGATGTGCCACCTTTTAACCTTGTTACGACATCTGCATGTTATCCATCTGACCTGAAATTTAAAAAAAAAAAAAAAAAGAGAGAGAATCTAATGCCACCACTGATCTGACAGGAGGCAGAGCTCTGGCAGTAATGCTCGCTCTCCCACCGCGGCCCTAACAGGCCACAGACCAGTACTGGTCCAAGGCCCAAAGATTGGGGACCCCTGCTCTAGAGGAGGATCTCTTCTTGCCACTTAAACCTTCTGGGAGTCCCAAGTGTGCCTGGACCAAATCTCCGCCTCCTTTGTCACATGGCATTCTCCCATCTGTGTGTCTCTGTCTTCACATGGCCTTTCTTCTCATGAAGACACAGGTAAGGTGCAGTGGTTCATGTCTGTAATCCCAGCGCTTTGGGAGGCCAAGGTAGGAGGATTGCTTGAGGCCAGAGTTCAAGGCCAGCCTTGGCAACATGGGGAAACCCCATCTCTTAAAAAAAAAAAAAAATGACTAGGGGCGGTGGCTCATGCCTGTAATCCCAGCACTTTGGGAGGCCAAGGCAGGCAGCTCACCTGAGGTCAGGAGTTCAAGACCAGCCTGGCCAACATGGTGAAACCCCATCTCTACTAAAAATACAAAAAATTAGCTGGGCGTGGTGGCAGGCACCTGTAATCCCAGCTACTCGGGAGGCTGAAGTAGGAGAATTGCTTGAACCCTGGAGGTGGAGGTTGCAGTGAGCTGAGATTGCATCACTGCACTCCAGCCTGGGAGACAGAGTGAGACTTCATCTCAAAAGATAAAAACAATTAAAATAATTAGCTAGGCATGGTGGCTCACACCTGTAATCCCAGCTTCTTGACAGGCTGAGGCAGGAGAATTGTTTGAGCCTGGGAGGTGGAGGTTGCAGTGACCTGAGATTGCACCACTGCACTCCAGCCTGGGGGGCAGAGTGAGACTCTGTCTCAAAAAAAAAAAAAAAATATTAAAAATGAAACAAAAAAAAAAAAAAAAAAAAAAAAAACATGTAGACAAGCATAGCATGATTAGCCATTAGCACAATGAGATGTCATGGCATACCTGTTAGAATTATTAAACTNAAAAAAAAAAAAAAAAAAAAGCACCAGTCATTGGAGTAGGACCTACCTATCTGCAAAGGCCCTATTTCCAAGAAAGGTCACATTCACAGCTACCCTAGGTTAGGACTTTAGCATTATCTTTTTGGAGACACAACTTGATCCATAACAGTGTCAGTGGTGTAAGAACGGGACTGGAGGGTGGGTGTGACCCTGTGGGCTGTGGCCAGGGCCTCAGCGCCTAGGAAGGGTCATACAGCTGCATGCATGGGGTTGTCCTCAGCAGTCAGACACATCAGGTGTATTGACAGGCAGGGACGTTGCAGCTCTTCCAGACTGACCATCTGGTCCTCCAAAGAGGAAGCTGAGGGCCATGGAGGGAAGTTAGGCCCAAGTTCCAGGTTGTCTGGTTTACTGGCTTTGACTGTCAAGCCAGTGGTGCTGAGTTCCTACACTCCGCTGACAGCCTGCTCCTGGGCCTCCTACTCACTTCCTGCTAGTTGCTTCTTCCCTCCAAACACCCCGGAAGTACTGGTCTGGGCCAGCTCTCGTTTCTATTTCTAGGTGACTTGCAGCTCTTACAAGTCTTCTCTGAAACTCATCATCAGTGTTCCCGATGAGAAATAAGCCCCCATGCTTTCATTCAGGGGATGCTGGGCCTTGAACAGAGGGTGAATGGGGTAGGGAGGCCTCTGGCCTCTACGGAGCCACTCTTTTGCCCACACAACCTCAGTGCCCATTAATCCTGCCAGAACAGGGACGTTGGGGGATTTTGATATCAGTTGATCACAGTAGACCTGGTTTCCAGTCTGGCTTCTGGTTCTCCTGGCTGTGTGACCTTGGCCCAGATAGGCAACCTCTTTAAACCCAAATTTCCTCATACTTAAAATGAAGATAGCAATATATTTTATCTGACAGAATTGTCTTGAGAATAGAAAGAAATAATGCACGTGCAGACCTGGCCTGTAAATGCTCAGTAATTTCTCCTTTTTTTTTTTTTTTTTTTTTTATTTGGATATTCTCTCTTCTTTTCTTGATTTGCCTAGTTAGTGTTCAATCAATTTTATTTATCCCTTCAAAGGACTTACTTTTTTTGAGACGGAGTCTCATGTGTCGCTCTGTCACCCTGGTTGGAATGCAGTGGCACAATCTCGGCTCACTGCAACCTCTGCCTCCTGGGTTCAAGCGATTCTCCTGCCTCAGCGTTTTGAGTAGCTGGGACCACAGGTACATGCCACCACATCCAACTAATTTTTGGGATTTTTTTTTTAAGATGGAGCCTTTCTCTGTCGCCAGGCTGGAGTGCTGTGGCACAATCTCGGCTCACTGCAACCTCTGCCTCCTGGGTTCAAGCGAGTCTTCCGCCTCAGCCTCCCGAATAGCTGGGACCACAGGCACGTGCCACCACACCTGGCTAATTTTTATATTTTTAGTAGAGACGGGGTTTCACCATGTTGGCCAGTTGGCCAGGATGGTCTCCATCTCTTAATCTCGTGATCCGCCTGCCTCAGCCTCCCAAAGTGCTGGAATTACAGGCATGAGCCACTGTGCCTGGCCTAATTTTTGTATTTTTATTAGAGACGGGTTTCACCATGTTGGCCAGGCTGGTCTTGAACCCCTGACCTCAAGTAATCCACCTGTCTTGGCCTCCCGAAGTGCTGGGACTGCTACCTGACCATGACCCCATTGGATTTTATACACAGGAAGTCAGACAGGGAGGGAGAAGAATAGGATTTGATGTCGTCACATTGTCTGGCATCTGGGGGCCTTTATTTAGAGTTGGGTAAGAGCCTCCACCTGGAAAATGTGGACGGCAAGTTGTGCATCATGTGGTTAACCTGACTTACTTTGAGAAGTTGGTGCTCCTCATCTTGAGGAATGCAGATTCCAGCAGTGGCCCAGGGCAAAGAGTGTGCGTCATTGATGAGAGTGGGAAAATGAAACTCTTTAGTCAGCCTTTCATCCAAGCTGTTTGTCAGATGCTGGCACAATCCCAGTCCCTAGAGGAAAGCCACTGGCCCTTGTAGAAGAAATCAGAAACAGAAATGACGTGAAGGTGTTTAATGTCTCCAAGGAAGATGGAAACCACCTTCTGCCACATACTGTGCCATGTGTGCAGGGCAGCAGGAATCAAAAACATGTGCGTTCCTGCTTTTCTACCCATGAAGAAGTGCCCAGTTCAAGAGGAGCCCAATGGAGCCATGCCTGTCAAGGCTGTGTGCCTTTGGGGTTATGAAAGTTCGTGGGCTTTTCCAGTGAAAACTTAACAGCTGTTTTCCATAAAATGTTTAAAAGATCAACTTAGCCTTGATGCTGGGTTGTCTGTACAAGATTAACAATCCATTGTGGCTTATGCATGCTTTAAGATTCTGTTTATTTCCTCTTGCAGTCGTGCACATGATTTGGATAAATTATGAGATGATCAGTGGTTTTCAGAGTATTAGATGGAATTTGCCCTCATTGAAGTTTATAAATGTATTCAGGGGGAGGAGGGGAAAGAGCTCACTGCCTAATCAGTTTTGTAGGTCATGAAAATGCAATTCCTCTCCAGGTGCAGTTTCAGTCTCATGCAACTTAATAACAGTTATTTGAGGCCGGGCGCGGTGGCTCAAGCCTGTAATCCCAGCACTTTGGGAGGCTGAGGCGGGTGGATCACGAGGTCAAGAGATCAAGACCATCCTGGTCAACATGGTGAAACCCCGTCTCTACTAAAAATACAAAAAATTAGCTGGGCATGGTGGCGCGTGCCTGTAATCCCAGCTACTCAGGAGGCTGAGGCAGGAGAATTGCCTGAACCCGGGAGGCGGAGGTTGCGGTGAGCCGAGATCGCGCCATTGCACTCCAGCCTGGGTAACAAGAGCGAAACTCCGTCTCAAAAAAAAAAAAAAAAAAAAAAAAAAAAAGTTACTTGATTTAAAAAAAAATTATTCCAGCTGGGCGTGGTGGCAGGCACCTGTAATCCCAGCTACTCAGGAGGGTGAGGCAGGAATATCACTTGAATCCTGGAGGTGGAGGTTGCAGTGAGCCAAGATCACGCCGCTGCACTCTACTCCAGACTGGGCGACAGAGCAAGACTCTGACTCAAAAAAAAAAAAAATTATTCCAAAATAAAACCATTTTAGGTTATCTCTCCAATTCTTCCTTTTTGTTTGCTTATTGCTTAATAAATATAAAAATAGGCTGGGTATGCTGGCTTACACCAATAATCCCAGCACTTTGGGAGGCCGTGGTGGGCAAATCATGAGGTCAAGAGTTCGAGACCAGCCTGACCAACATGGTGAAACTCCATCTCTACTACAAATATAAAAATTAGCTGAGCATGGTGGTGCATGCCTGTAATCCCAGCTACTCAGGATGCTAAAACAGGAGAATTGCTTGAACCCCAGATGTGGAGGTTTCAGTGAGCTGAGATCGAGCCACTGCACTCCAGCCTGGGCGACAGAGCAAGACTCTGCTTCAAAAATATATAAATAAATAATTCTAATGGTTACAGACAAAAGAAATTTTTTTCTTTCTTTTTTTTTTTTTTCCTTTTTTTCTACAGGTGTGCATCACCATGCCCGGCTAACTTTTGTATTATTAATAGAGACAGGGTTTCACCATATTGGCCAGGCTGGTCTCAAACTCCTAACCTTGTGATCAGCCCTCCTTGGCCTCCCAAAGTGTTAGAATTACAGGAGCAAGCCACCGTGCCTGGCCAAAAAAAATTGTTTCAGGCCAGGAGAGTGGCTCATGCCTGTCCTCCCAGTACTTTGGGAGGCTGAAGCCAACAGATCACTTGAGGCCAGGAGTTCAAGACTAGCCTGGCCAACATGGCAAAACCCCATCCCTACTAAAAATACAAAAAATTGCTTTCAGTCCTAGGTCTATGTGGGGCCGTGTCTCAAACCACCCAAGGTCCCCTCAGATCGCCCGGAGAGGCACTCGGACCTGGAGCGGTGAGCAAAATGAAGACCTTCCAAGACCAGAGTGGCAGCTCCAATAATAGAGAACCTCTCTTGA